GCATTAAGGTTTTCCGGTAAGTTTCCTTCTCTCACTCTTAGTATGCTTTGCATAGTATGTAGTTATGATTGTATGGAAAGAAGCACCAGTTCAAAGCACTGATGTACTACTGCTACTACTACTGTTACTGCTGATGATGATAATGATGGTGATCACGATGTTGAGTGGGTGACGAGAATGGTGATGACGATGATGATGATGATGATGTTGTTGTTGTTGATGATGATGATGTTGATGAGGATGATGATGATGATGCTGATGATGATAATGATAATGATGCTTGCTGAGGATGATGATGATGATGATGATGAGGAGGAGGAGGAGGAGGAGGATGAGGATGAGGATGATGATGATGATGATGATGATGAGGAGGAGGAGGAGGAGGAGGAGGATGAGGAGGAGGATGATGATGATGATGATGATGATGATGATGATGATGATGATGATGAGGTTGCTGGTGGGGAGCAGCGCCAACGGTCATCTCGGCACGTTATCAGTGGTCGAAAACGCCGTGTTACGTCGCGAATTTTACATTTATGGGTTTGATCGAGTTAATGTTCGGTTGTTTAAGAATAAGGTCCACCGTGCAGTACGCGTGCAGTGAATGTCAGTACCAACACTGCTCGCGGGACCTAGTTGTGATGCCGTCTAGCAGTCCGGATGACAAGTAGTAAGTCACCTGACTTTTCATATTTGAAACCAATAAACTGTGATCAACCCACTGATGTAGCGAATGATGGAAAGTAGCAGTGTGGATATCCTCCACACTTTGAACTTCGTGCGCAGTTTGGTTACCTCAAATACATGCATCTTCACTCCTTATTCGCGGTGTCTCTCAAACCAATGCCAGATCCGAATGACTATTGATTGTTACCTGTTGTCGAATGTCAGCCTTCGATCGGTTCATGCATCATCGTTTCACACTGTTTGGTATCTGGGAATCCCAGAATGATCTGTTGCCTGTGCCACTAAATCGGAGAATTTCCTCTAGCTTGGGATCTGTAGGTGACATATAACTGGACTGCAGTGAATACGTTTGGCTTCATATCCACTTGAATAATAAGGGAATCCTTAACTGAATCTAATAGCGTATTGAAGGAATGGTGCTGAGTTGCACGCGATTGAAAGCTGATGTTAGTTGGAGTTTACTGACACTGGAATTCCACCATGAATGCATTCGGATAAGAGTTAGCCGCACGATTCGTGTAGCAAGATAACCAAGAGTGAAGCCTATGCGACTTACACAAGTGGAGTCTTGTTGGCTAATCGAATGGTTCAGAATCGACAGAGGTAAGAGTTGCGCTGCCTTTAAGTGGCTTCTATTGAAACATCACGTGTATATCATTACCACTAAAATTATCGGCGTTGATACGTGAAGTGGACGGGGCCTTCACGCATCCCGTGCAGTTTGATCGAAAAGCGAACACGTGATTCCATAAGCCTTATCAAGTTTGTCGTCAATTCGTGCGAAAGTCGCCTTTTTAAAACACGTGACGTGAGACTACGTGCGCTATACTAGTGGAACGAGGTACTAATTTGGAAAGCGAGATCACAGTTGAACTCGAACTAGTAACCTCTAAGGTATCGTTCGCATTGTGGTTAGAGGATGCGGTCAGGACATAAGAACCAAAAATTTAATCTACATATCTATGCTTCCTACCAGTTGGATACAACAGATATACCTACAGAAACTCTGACACGAAGCAGATGCAAAGATGAATTCCTCATTCGGTTGAATTAGGAATATCATCCCTGAGATCGATTATCCAGGTACAAACGCTGCCCATCATCGAACTTGAGCCCAACCAATTATTACGTTGGCCAAGTGCGTAACCTCATCCTCCCTCAAGATTAGCCATATCGATGAGAATCCACTGGTAATTACCGACTTAACAACTAGTGTTTCGTGTACAGCTGTTTGTTCCTGATCCCTCGTTGGTGTAGGGGGAAATGATCCGCTCAGTAATCGATCACGCCGTAAATGATTCGCCCACAGATCCCTTAGAGGTTTTCCTAGTGTATAACGTGATTACTCGGATCAAGCTATGCAAGCTGTTTGACCTCTGACTAGCTATCTAAATGAATTCTCGTGATAGACTTTTCCACCTGACTGTCGCTGCATCCATGTGGTTATAACCATAGTTCTCCATTCTGGTAACTCAAGAGATGCCTCCGAATTAAACCTAGTCAGGCCAAGTAATATGACCTCAAAGCGTCATCTTAATTTGGCTTAAGCATCCGAAGCTGAATGGCCATAGATGAGATTGTGCATTTAGTCTTGTTGGCCGTACAGAGGATCTTCCGTAGTTGCTTCTGTAAACGGATCATATTCCGTACACAGAATTGGAGAATGTAACTTCTGTTGAATGGTCCGGCACGCTGCATTAGGCGGTTAGACAACATCCAGCTGCGGTCAACAAATATAACCCAAAAGACACGCCATGTCACTGGTAAGAAAATGACGGAATGAAAACTGACCAACTTCCAAGCAGTATGTGATATCACGCTCCTCTTCGTTATCGGCACTACTGTGTTGGATCAGGCTTTCCTTCCTGGAAGACCCACCTCGAGCGCGTATAAGTTGTGCTCCCTAATGTAAGGAGAAGGTCTCCGCTCTGACTGTCGCGAACGGAACGTGGGTCGTGTAATAGCATGTGTTCTACATAGGGCCGAAATGCAGGTATGTGTGCTGAAGATTACTTACCTCAAGCGCGTGGCACCTCCCCCGCGCTAAGTATGAGCGGCCGAATAGAAATTCCCACAACCACATCTATTTACATAGCCAATAATTGTCTCTGAGAGCGCTAAACAGTTAATACGACGGTGAAACACTCCAATGAGTTCAGAAAAGTAAGTTCTAGTAGCAATTACATTTTGCCACGATCCTGAAACTGCGCACGTTTTGAGTTACACAGGATTCCGGGACTTATTTGAGGGTACAGGGATGCTCTGACGCAAGGACAGAATGCATGGAGGGAAATATTACAATCAATGATCAACAGCTATCTTGCACTGCCGCCCTCCAAACCTTTGAATACTAGGATACGGGCAGAAATAGCAACGTGGGAATTATCACACGAAGTCTCGTCTTATGTACTCAAGGCATACCGGGTTTTATTTTGTGCAGCAGTAGATGGTAATCGAATACTCAAGTTAGGGCAACCCACATCCAGGTTTTATTGCATCAATACGTCACTCTTGTCTGATATATCCGGACACCCTACGCTCTTTAAAATCTTGTCGAGAATAATGGTGAGAAAGATTATCTCATACCACAACACTTTTTGACTGATAGGTGTCCGGGGGCACACATTTAAAGATTAAAATCAGCAGCATGGACCAAGACATGGGACCGTGTGGAAAACTTTGCCCTAAGCGAAGACATAGGGTGGAGTAACCGGACACCGTGTCACAGCAGTAAGCCTAACAATACTTATCCTAGTGTGCATGCACACCAGCAGCTTCCCTTGGCAGGTAAATGATTTAACCAAAACAGATCGCAAGGTGCTCCTAGATCGCATAATATAATAGGCACTCATTAACTTGCTCGGGAATTTCAATCATACAACGTGCATCATTTGAGAGGTGGTTTCTATTCCTCGTATTTACATGGCAGCTTTGTTTGCCTGCGTAGTTTCCGGAGCACCCGAGAAGATGAGCATCTTGATATAGCTTGTCCTATCCGCAACATCCGTCTTCCGCTCACACTTGACTTGACGGCATATCAATCAAGACCAGCAAGAATACTCTTGATTCGAAAAGAATAAACGCTACAGTGTTCGGACTTTGTGCGATTGTGGTTTTGGGCTGAGTCGTACTTCGTGGATTCTTTTTTTTCAATGCCTAGACATTTTCGGCAGAAATGTACGTAAAGAGAAGCGGAACTGGGGACACGAAGTTTGCTAACTGTTACTCCGCCACAGCCATCTACGGTGTGACTGAATTGCAGTGGGCAATTTCATTTTGAGTCGAGATTCATTAGGAGGTGATGCTCGATTATTCTGATTACTGGTTACACCTTCAAAATGGGTTTGTTTTCGGTGTCGTTCTCTCCTAACACTGCATTCCATGATCGATTTGTGCTCGTTTTAATTATTCAGAAAAAGAGAAGCGACGATTATTTTGGAAACCAATGCTTTTGTGAAACGATGCACATACAGTACCAAAAGAAGACATTGTATGCCCGGAAATAATGACACTAGTACAAATTTCTAACCGAACAAAGATAAACTATTAACGGACCAGACACAACCGCTGATGATTCACAACTAAATGTTTTTGATTGTTCGTAATTCGATAGAGTTGTACAGAAACCTTTCTACTTGCTCTTAAATACAGTCTCAGTCACAGTCTCAGAAGCTGCAACTCATGGGTTTCGCGAAGACGGTTTTACCTCCCAGTCGCCGATTTTCAACATACACTTGTAGTCACTGTTAGCTTATTTGTTTCAGTGCTAAAATTGCAGACGTGTGGCTTAATAGCAATGCGTGCACTCGTAGTACATGATTCACCTTGAACGGATAACGGTGTTCTGTTTCAAAATTATCCGTGGCTCGAAGTAATATTGTGCTCTGAAAGTCAGGCACATAGTGAGCAGTTGACCAGCACATCCAGTGCTGCATCTAAAGAAACATTTTGCAATCTCAAACGTTTTATGGAGAAGACTTACATCTGACACATTCATGGTCGTATTGCGCTTTGAAATATTTTGCGACTCACACTTTGTTGCTAAGTAGGCTGTTGCTACGGTTGATACCATTGCTGCTACCGTCATCGTTATGCCCCGTTGAACGTGGACATCGGTAAAGGTGACACATGTGTTGCTACTCTCCACAGATAGTAGAAAATTCATACAGCTGATGAGCTGCGAAGTAAAGTAATAACAGTTCAATGCCTTCCTACATTTTTACTAGATGCTTCGCTAGGTTTAATTGCAGTGGTGCACCGCTGCAGTATCCCAAGTTTTCCCCTAAACGCCATACCCGGGTCTGACAGCGCTGTCAGGAACATGACCCTCCTGTAATTGAGGCTCTGCACGGAGCACAACTGCGAATGTCGACTACTTTTCCACCCCCCGTACGAATGTAGAATAACTGTACTAGGAATTTACCACTGAAAACACGGGTGCCAATTCGGCTCCGTGAGTCCTCGCACAAGGGCACATATTTCTGGACATCTCTAAGAAGGAACGCAGGGAAAGGTTTAGTGACCTAGAGGAATCTGACGATAGACAATTACTAGGGGATTCACTAGTTTCAAACTTCCGTTCCCGATGAAACGGAGGCATATGACAGGGAGCCATGGTGTGACATCCACGAAGCTGCCTCTCGCTTGTAACAATATTGTTGCTAAATTCACCATCTTGAAATATGCCTGGAACCGGTCGAGGATTCAGGAGTTTAGAAGGGTTTAAGGAGCTGCTTGTTATCGTTAGTGGGCAAGGTTTTGCTTTTGGCAGAAAAGCAGGTCAGGTCAGGTCAGGTGAACCAATGAGTGATTGCGGTGCATTTATAGCAAAGCGACGATAATCGCGAAGACTAAGTAGGACGTCGTTCACTTACAAGTGCAAAGTGCCATTTAAAGGGGGTCCATAGGGAACGGAAAGATCCCAAGCGGTTCACAATGATGTCATCACACGTAAGTCCCTTTCATTAGCGATAATATGAGGCGGTTTGATGTTAACTCCCAGTCTCGGATCGGTCCACTGACCCTCCTCAGGCTGGCATCGTTAAGATAGTCAGCCACACATTCGATAGCTCTAATCCATCCGTTCTGTCGACACAGATGTTAGATTTCGCAATTTCCAATGCCTCAGCAATCAGCCATTGAGGTGTTGGCCGTAATCCCCACCTAATGATCTCGACATTTTCCAAATCGCTTTCAAGCCCTGTGTCTAACGTGTGTATCGCCATCGCCGAATCTTTTAGTGGAGTCCTGTATGCAACCTCGTTTCTCGGTGGCTGTGACATGGGTCTCTTGTGTTGTGCTAACCCGTGCACAGTCTCTAGCCGTTTGGCTCATACACATCTGCACACAGTTATTGTAGCCAATTTTGTGGACGTAGTTGATCGTTCTACTTGCAGAGGCTGAATACTGCTAGTGCATCGGTGTCAAACGGAGCCTCTGAAGTTCCCTCTTTATAAGGAATCCTTATCATTCTAGTGGACTCCGTGGTGCGCAGTGCATGCTGGTTTGGAACATTCTGCAACTGGCGCTCCACCAGTAGTCTAGAGTATCCACCAAATAGTAGTCTGTTCAATACCAGCCACCGAGTCGTTTTGTATCCTCTCCATCTATACGCGGGGTCTGGCCACTGCATAACAGAGAAAAGGCGGTTCCAGCATATATATATAAATATATATATGCCCCATGCTGAGGCTGATGTTGCATTCTTGATGCTTCTTCACCGCAGTTGGGCTAAACCAAATTACAGCTAAACTAGGTCTTTTTAAGCTGGCTAAATTTCATTCCACTTTATTTGGTTTGTTTGGTAATGGCTGATTGTGACGCGTGGCAGTGAAAGCCGCAATGAAGCTGTCTCGCCGATGCCGCCTTATCTTTGCATGATAGCCAGCTGTTTGTGACGGAATGTTGTCTACACAAGGTGCAGGCGCCTTGACCCTGAATGTTTGTTTAGGGCACTAAGGTTTTCGGGTAATTCCCCCTTCTCTCCCTCTTCTGATTCTTGATTTCATAGGTCGTCATGGTTGTACGTCAGCGAAGCATCATTTCAAATGGCTGATGTACTGCTGTTGATGATGACGATGATGATTGGGTGACCTGAACTGTGGTGGAATACTCCGTCTTTGTTCGTTTGTTGACAAAATATTGTTATTTCTAACTTAGTACCAGTCCTATGAACTAATCACTCAAAGAATGGTTATGGAACAATGGAATAATGGTTTATTACAGGTAAAAAAGCGTTGCTTTTCATGTCCCGTAGGATGGAAATTATTGCGGAAATCAGTTGCATGATAAAGTGAAAAGCGTTGTGGTGGACTCATCATATACTTATGTGAAATGGCGGAGATGCTCGCGTATTAAACGTATAAATCCTTTGGTTAGGCGTTTGGCAAGACACTGTTTGATTGCGTTTTGTAGCCCCTGGCTAACAAGTCATAAAATGAAATGTAATTGAGACAATGCATCGTCAACACGTTTTTTAAATATCGCCAAATTGGGAGCAGAGACGACATAATTAGGGAGGGCGTTCCAAGGCTGACACATGCGGAGGGAAAAGAAATTTCTACGGCATTCAAGCCTGCTATACTGAATTGTCAGTTTCAGAGGGTGACCTCTTAGTTTAGTGTTGTGGTTCAATTCCAGCAGCGGACGGCAGATGTGGTTTGGATTCTTCAGAATTTGGTAAACCATTATGAGATCCCCCCGCAAAAGCCGATATCGACTGCTGTACATTCTTAGAGATTTCAGTCTAAGCTGATAGGGCAGATGAAAGAGGCCCCTGACGTTCTTGGTTGCCCTTCGTTGAGGAGTCTCGAGAGCAATGAGATCCTGTTTCTGCCACGGCTGCCACGCCTGAATAGCATATTCCACGTGAGATCGCACGTAGGCGTTAAGCATTTGGGGAAAGATTGAGGGTTCAAACCGACCGAAGGCTCTGCGAAGAAGGCCGAAGTGTTGATTGCCGGTTCTCGTCGCCTTCTCTGCTTGTTTTGAACACCCGAGATCTTCCTGTACCAATACACCCAGGTCACGCTCCTGAGAGACCTTCTCCAAGGTGTGGTCTCCAATCTTGTAAGCGCTCACCAGCTGGTGACGCAGATGTATCACCTTGCACTTAGCTATGTTCAATTGAAGCATGTTCCTCTTTGACCATTCGTAAATGCAATCTAGGTCATGTTGGAGCAGATCGTGATCTGGCTTGTTACTAATCGCCCGACATATCTTGACGTCATCGGCGAAAAGCAGGAAATTTGAGGAGATAACTGATGCCAGGTCGTTGATAAACATCATGAATAAGCGCGGTCCCAGCACTGAGCCTTGTGGAACACCACACTCCACCTCAATTGGGTTAGAGAGTGATCCCCTGACACGTACTTGAAGCTTCCGTTGGTGAAGGAAGCTGCCAATCCAACCAAGTACAGGATCTCCGATTCCGTAACTCTGTAGCCGTTGAAGTAGGATGCGGTGATCAAGGCGGTCGAAAGCTTTGCAGAAGTCCAGATAGATGACGTCGACTCCGACCCCATCATCGGCCACTTCCGTCCAACTACCTCGTTCAATCAGTAGGTTGGTGGTGCATGACCGGTGTTGACGGAAGCCATGCTGTTCCGATACCAAGATGTTACATTTTTCCAGGCAGTCCATTAAAGCCTCAGCGACGACTGCTTCCATCACCTTCGCGAGCACAGGGAGGAGAGTCACTGGACGATAGTTTGCAGGATCTGAACAGCCACCGCCTTTAAAAATAGGGGTGATAATGCCACACTTCCACATAGTGGGGACTTGTTGTTCATCAAAGCACCTTTGGAAGAACTGTGACAGTGGTTCAGCTAGCCTGTTGGCCACAGCCTTCAGTGCCTTCGAGCGGATGTTGTCTGCTCCACGAGAACTATGCTCACGCAGTGACAGTAACTTCCTTAACACAATTGTTGGGTTGAAAATTACATTTGTAAACAATGGTGTCGGTAATATGCATGACGTTATGGGACAAGTAGAGGTTGCGAGTTCGAAAATTGGGGCGTATTGCAGCCGCAGGGCATTAGCTGCTTCTTCGGCGCTTTGTACTCTACCGCCTGTCGTGAAAAGTGGAGGGATGTCATGCTTCACTTTACGAAGCTTATTGACATGCCTATATAGTAGTTTGTTGTTTGCCATGAATTTTTTGGCTAGGCACTGTTGATAAGTTACTTTGTCCTCACGGACAAGTGCAGTGCAATGGTTGCGATGGATCAGGAAATTGCCCCAAGTCTCTGAGTCGGGGTTAATCTTGTAAGCACGCCATGCTGCATCCCTTATCGCCAGGCATTTTCGAGTCCTGCTCCTTAGAATTGAAGGCAATTTTGCGGGACGAAGGGGCTTGGTCTCTGATGCTCTGTTGACGATGTCGCTGAATCTGTTAACGAACTCTGCCGAAACGTTGTCAAGTGGACTTTTGTTTGAGAATTCCCAAGCAGCTGCGTCGGCGAGTTCTTTTAATACGTGGTAGCGTGTGAATGTATGAGTTAGTTCCGCGTGTTCAGATGGATACTCTGCATAACACACAGTTAAACGTTATTACTACATGGTCACTGAGACCTAATGGACTATCCATCAATAACTTGTCAACCATTACCTCTTCATTCGTGAGCACAAGGTCCAGTATGGACGGTTGGTTTGCTGTCCTGAATCTAGTGGGCATGGTGACATGATTGTACAAGGAATATTAGCGATCAGTTCATGTAAGTTTGCTTTGAACTACTCATTGGGCGGTGCCAAAAACCTCCAGATTGTGTAGATTGAAGTCCCCGGAGATGAGAATGTGGCTGTACCTAGTGCGTGTTACTCTGTTCAGGCCACGGATCAAGCGGGAATCCATTTCCGGAGTGGACGTTGGGGGGGCAGTAAACGACAGCTACGAGACATGCGTCGTTGTGACTTAGTCGGAGACGGCACCAGAGTGAGTCGGTAACGTGTGTTTCCAGATCATCAACTATTGTACATTGTAGATCGCTGTGGTAGTACAGTAGGACCCCACCTCCTCTGCTGGGGCGGTCGTTCCGGATGAGTGACATTCCAGCTATCTCAACCTCAGCATCAGTCACCTCTTGGTGTAACCAAGTTTCGGTAAGAGAAATTAGGTCCCAAGCATTCGCAACCTGACGTAGCCGAAGTTCGGTAATTTTACTGAGGAGCCCTTGAGCGTTAGTGTACATACATGAAAGTTTCTCAGATTTAAGCAATGTTTCGGAGGTTCTGCAACTCATATGTGAAGTTTCGCCGACCAGTGAGTGGCCGGCGACTAATCGTTTTTTCGATGTGTGCTTGGTGAAGGGTTTAACATTTTCTTCATCGCCCGTGTAGTTAGTCCCGTATCTGATCTGCGACGTACAGTGTAAGGTGTCTGGTCAATGTCATCTACAGGTTGTATGGGCTCATTCGGTACACTACTGGTGCATTGTTCTCTCATAGATCCCATCGCGTTTGGTTCTTTGAGTGACACATCATCTCTAGGAGGC